AAGTATGCACTAAACTTTAAATGGAATTTGACTTGCACTTCTTAAATTCTCATGGAGTGTATTGTTTTGTTTGCCTAGTGTGCACTTATTTCGTTACTTCTCACCATTTTCTTGAGAGTCTTGGCAGCTGTAAATATCTTGTGAACTCGCCAAGTTTTGCTAAACATGGCACCAAATGATAGAGAAAATCCAATAGAAAGCACTGAAGTTCTAGCCTGTTGATATATAAAGGGTTTTCATATTGTAATTGGTATAAACGTTTGGATAGTTAACTAAACAAAATCGCCTACATCAGGTGATAACGCGGGTACCATTTCTAAATCAAGATCTTCAATACAGAGGGTAAGAACTAAGTAAGCTTATAGACGAAATAGACGTGCAAAAAAACGTTGACTCATCGTGATTAGGACGCAAACGGGACAAAGAAAGAAGCCGGGTAGAATTGCTTAATTGGTTTGAGATATCGCTTCATTTTTTGCCTGTCTACACCATCTCAGTCATTTGACAAATAGAAGTGATGCCTGAACACCATAAGTCATCATTTCTTTACATGCATGGGTGTGTAGTAACTTGTTTTTGTATTCTGCTGTGGTTTAAATCTAAATTTGTGTCGGTATTGTTTTGGCTGAGACCCTAATTGGCTAAAACAATTCTTGTATCAAGATCCACCAATTTAACTGGAACAAATATTGTTTCTTTTCCCGCCAATTAATGGGAAGAAACAAAACTGCGACTTGGTCTTGGTGACTCACTTTCAAACATCGTTTGCATATTTTTGTCCAATGATTGATCTATTGGATTATATGCGGCATTTGTACATGACTGGTCAAAGTAATTACTTTCGTTTTTAGCTTGACAACAGTCAACAGAAATCTTACTATAACAAATCGCAGAACTATATCTTACATTACAGTTGTTTCCGTATTCTTTTAAGTTGAGGAACCTCGCATCCAAACCAAACAAAACGACTGAGGCGTAACAAAGTATACATCCCAGAATAATTATATTATTAAGCTTCGGTGATGACATCTTGATAATTCTAGAAAAAGAAACGAGCTGGATTAACTTTGCTATTGGAATTTTTATGTCGGACCAGAATTAGCCTCTCTTTATTTCTTCTTAGAACTATGTAAGAATTCTAAACGTCAGCCTAGCGGGCATATTTGAAGGACTAGCGGAAGAATTTTTTTAAAAAAACCGGAGGGAAGCCTATAGAGTACGGCCAGCAAGGGGGCAGAACACAGGTTTTCGGTCTCGTTTAATGCATTCTTTGTACTCGGAGCACCTTCAATCTGTCAGTTGGCCCCTCTTTTTTCATAGTATTTCGCCCGCAGCAGCCAACGTGTTTAGCTAAACCAGTGAACTCAAAAATTTAAACTTAGCTGAAAGAAATAGAGGCGAAGAAATTGAAATTGAAATTGAAATTTAACTGAACCTTGTAAAAATGATGTGCACGTGACGTCTTTACTCTGAAAATTACATGGGGAGTATTTTTCCAGCTTTTTTATCTCACTGATTTTTAATTTGGTAGATCTTTTTTCTGACCAAATCTCTTTATCTTATGCATCTGTTACAATAACGCTCTTACCTGTTCTTTCCATTGCTGATGTTAAAATACAGAAAACTTGCCGAACAGATGATTCCGACAGCTGCCATAAGCCACATGATAATTATAAGAGGCAATGGGACCATCATAAACTCCAGATTTTCGACTGTGTGATCCCTGGGCGGTTTATTATCTGAAAAATAATAGTGATAGTTCAGCTAAGTACATGGTGGTTCCTCTTCACCTTCACTCTTTACCTGCGGAGGCGAAGTGGCCTCGTGGTTAGTGCTCCCGCCTCCGGATCAAGTGGTCCCTGGCCAGGGACATTGTGTTGTGTTCTTGGGCAAAACACTTTACTCTGACAGTGCCTCTCCCCTCCCAGGGATATAAATGGGTGCCGTTGAATTTGATGCTGGGGGTAACCCTGCGATGCACTAGTATCCCATCCAGGGAGGAGTACAAATACTCGCTTCATGCTACAGAAACCGGAGATAAGGGCCGGCCTGATGGGTCACTTGCCTCTTATAATGCAGACTTTACCCTTTTACCTACTCTCCACCTAGTTTGTTTATTATTGAAAAACAAAGGAAATTCCGCACAAATTTAATTTTAACTGATAGCCTTTTGAGGAAGAGGAGAAGATATCAGATGTAAAAATTCCAAGGCTTATTACCTCTTGAGTTAAAGATAGGACATAAGAAAGATTATTACCTGGCCATATCTCATCTCGCTGGGAGGGAAATATGTGGAGCTCGTCTGAGAAGGTGAAGTGCTGACCGATTCTGGTCTCATTTCCTGAAACATAAATAAGCAATTTTAAAATCTCAATACTGCTGAACAATTTTTTTTCTGGAATCTTATTGCAGGCCACACAGTCTTGTTTACTTCAGGTCCTTGTACTAAACTGACACGTGCATAAGGCGCTTTAGTAGCTACTCAGCTGTATTTTTTTTTTGAAATACGCGAATCTGATTGGTTGTCTCATTGTTTTCTATTCGCTGATAGGCAACGATCGGGCGCACTGCTCTTGAAACTAAAACGATTCTTAATATTAGTCTTAAACTGTAGGTTAGGGGTTGTCATCCTTAAGGATATCTACTAAAACAATTAGATTACTCGCCTTCGTTTTCTATTAGCGATAGTCAACGAGGCGCTGTTCGCTCATAGCATACTCGGGCTCGTAGTCTACGCCAGTTTGTTACGTTATGGTACCCACCTCCTCTATTTTGTTTAACGAGAACTGTTCCTACGCGTTCTCTATTTTTGTCAAACCGAACAGGGCCCTGTCAAAATAAACATTAAAATAAAATTTAAAAAAAAATCACGATTTTCGCCTTTTAACACTACCTCGCAAATAGATTCCTCTTTTGGAATTAATTACGACATGATCACTTGGAGAAATATTGTAATTACAAAACTTTTTATTTTAATCAGACATCAACTGCAAATCTTTTTTTTTTTTCGCGTTTGTCATGAATTAAGTGTTAATAATTTCCATGAGTAAATGGCATTCTCGGAAATCTACCTTTGAATATCTCCATTTTCCTCATTTTTCTTACTTACTGTGATTCCTTCAAAGTTTGTGTTCCTTATCCACTTTTTGATCAGGAGAACCTCCTCGTATGTCCGCTTGTTAAGTCTCTCATACGTCAATCCATCGGCCATGGTAGCATTCAGTGTCAGTGCAATCACCCATGCCACATCAAACGCGTATGCAGAGTCCTTTCTGAGTCTTGTGTCGTTATTTAACCTGACCATTTCACTCCAGAAGCTTTCCGCAGTCTGCAAAATCATCGGAAATGAAAACCGGTTTGTTAGATCCGATGGTCGTTCAGCAAATAGATCTTTAATCTTTAATCATTATTTATACACGGTAAAAATTACATCAGGTAGAAAAAATTACATAATAATGACTAAAAATCCAAATCCTAACATTGTATTAACTTGCATTATTATGCCACTTAAGAAAAATCCTGGTTTCCATGAATGCTGTGTTTAAAAATTATGGTAGAGAAGGCGTTTAAATTTGTCCAATGAACCAAACTCTCTAATGTTACAGGGTAAGCTGTTCCAAAGGGTAGCGCCGCTGTAACTAAAACTATTTTTCATGTAGTTTGTTCTCGGAAAGGGAACAACAAGTTTGTTTACCGAGTCCCTCAGAGAATAGCTTGATTCATTTCGCTTTATAAATAGATGACAATGACCGTTCACCTTTCTAGTGTACGAACCTAACCAGGCAGGGGTTTGCGTCTTTGCGGATTTTTTTCAAGTTCCTATATTCAAGGTTTTGGAAGCAGGTTAATTTGTCTGGCGTTTACAGCCACCAGCACCAAATTAAATTATTCTCCCAGTGTATATTGTAGGAAAAAAGCTGGGACCAATAAGGGTTGATAGTTTTGTTAGTAGGGAACTCAGTTGGGATGTGTTGTTGGCTAGACTCCATCAGGAAATGCGGTCTAAGATATGGAACTCTTCCAGGGTTCTTGTGTAGTGGTCTTGGGCAACATTCATACCGTCACGTACAGTATCCCTCACCACCCGGGACATTAATAGATACCAGTGAGCTATTAGGAAAACATGCCTAAGTACTGGGACTAGCATGGGATGGAGTTACTTTTCATCTAGAAGGTAGAGCAATAGAAGTAGTTGCTTCATACTAGAGGTTCATGCTACACAAGCCGAAGCTAAGTGCTGGCCGTTAACGGTAGTTGAGAGCCACAGGGCTTATGAGGACTTCCCATTTTACCATTTTGGTGGCAAGGATTTAAGCTTCAATGCTCATTATTTTTAGTAACTTACCATTCCAGACAGTGTCTTTTGATTTTCCTGGCGGATGTCTAGCTTCATAGTTGATATGTAACGTTCGGCTGCTTCTTTCAGTTGGTTACTTGTACAGTCTACAGACCCTTTCAGCTCGGAATCTCCGGGAAAAATTCGACCTGGCCTAATCTCGCCAAATATTATCCAGGCATAGTTCGATCCAAACATCTTCTTTTTAAAGGCCTATCATTACAATAACAAGTACTGGTTAAAAGTAATATAGGTCATTTACAAACTGGTAAATTAAAAGGCCGGAAGCAGTGCCTGTCTTACATATTTAGACCACTGCTGAAGTCATAAACAGTTCTTAAGTTTGCTCATACACACACACACTTTCATGGGCTTTCTTCCCAAAGCAACAATATAACAAGTTACTAATCTGAAAACTTGAAAGGTCTACCGTCAATCATTGGCTTAAGCTGCACATGCTACTTCATACAATTACTTTTTGTCTTAAGAGCAAATTCCGCAAAAATCAAACAAAATCAAATTTCTTCGGCAAGGTTAGAAAACTCAAATTCGCTCGTCTTTTGCATATAGCTAGCCCCTAACAAGAGTGCAAAAAGGCTGTAGTTTTTTTCCTTGAAATAGTTTTGTCTTTCCGAGAAAAGCGACATTTACGATTTAACTTTCAGACTCAATTTCATGCAATTTAGCGAGTCCCAACTGGGCTGAAAATCGGCTGAAATTCGACCATTTTCATTCGATTCGCATTTCGCAACTATTGAGCGCAGAAAAGTTGTAATACAACCAGCTTATTGCAGAACTATTCCTTGTCTAAAAAAGTACGATTTCAAGAATATTAGATTAATCTAATTATTTAGCGGTAAACAAAACCAGACTGTTCTCCAATATTGAGTAAGTCAGTCGGTGAAAAGGATTGTCATTTTGACCATGTGGCATGTCTCGGAATTCCAAAAGATTTTAGATGATAACTATGCTAGGATAGGTCTTTCAATATATTTAAAGTTCAGTTTGGCCAAATGATTAGGCACTCTTCAAAAAATTATTCAAAATCGTTCACAAAATACACAAAATCACGCCAGCAGCTTCCGAGTGCGGGACCAAAAGTATCATCATCGTATCGGCGTATTACTTCAGTTCGAAACGTTAGCATTACCAAGCAGTATAAATGACATACACATAATAATAGCATGTTCACCTACCTCGGTCTGTAATATCCTGAATCTTACAAACTGATTCTTTCCCTGCGTACAATTTTCAGCGGCGTTCTTTTCAGTACTCATATGATATCCGACTTTGAAGAAAAACAGTCACTGCCAAGTCCCATGTATGCATCATCCATCTGTGTTATTTGTGTCGTTTGATTAGGCCAGTAGTAACTGCTAAAGCGTCATTCCACGTTCGACTTTCGGGTTTCCATTTTGAAGACGTTTGAAAGTCCTCCATTTTGACCGAAGATGTGTTATCCGAGACCCGTGCGTTACAACATATTTTACATGGGGGTGAGGGTCGGGATTTCAGAGCTTTTAACAGAGTTATTTTTCTTTGTTTGAATTTTAAGCCACAAGGACCTGGTTCGTGTGTAGAATTTTATCGCTTTACCTAAGAAAAGAGCCCCTGAACTGGAACTAACATCGAGATATTGGAAAAATTCTAACGCTTTTTCTTTCGGAATTTAATTCCTACTCTACCCTTACCCTGTGCGAAAAGACATTTGCTGGACAATATGCAAATAAGACACGCGGAGCATCGAAGATGGCGGCTTATTTGTTACTGCTAATTACTGGGGATTTCTGCCTGATAGCAGGTTGAACGATTGTATCAAACAACAAAACGGAAAATGTAGGAACATTTACATTGGAACTTGGTAATATTGAGCGATTTGGGGAATTCAAAATCACCAGACGAATGCGTACAGGTTATGCAAACCTAATGGAACACCGTTGAAATGGCAGGATAGGAATGTTGTTTGACAGTCAAGACATGATAAGCCAGCTAAGGTAGACATATATATGTTGGTTTATGCTTAAGTCGAGCTGATATTCCTGTGATATTTCGAACTGAAGTGATTTAATGACAAAAACAATGGTACTACTTTTGGTCACGCATTCCACTGCTGGCGTGATTTCAGTTTTTTTTGTGTATGATTTGAATAATGTTTTGACGAGTGCCTAATCATTTGCCCAAACTAGGCTTTACATATATTGAAAGACCTATCCTAGCATAGTTAGAATCTAGAATCTTTTGGAATTCCGAGATATGGCACATAGTCAAAATGACAATTGTTTTCACCGACTGACGAACTGATCGTTGGAGAACACTATGGTTTTGTTTACCGCTAAATAGTTAGATAAATCCAATATTCTTGAGACNCTCGTTAGATTGATGTCTGGACGTGAAACCGATAATGTCCTCGGAATGTCCTCGGAAATACCAAGACATTTGAAGAAAAAAACTACATAGCGTTTTTACTATTAGGAAGGCCTACTTATATGCAACAGTAGGGCAAATTCTATTTTTCAAGCCTTACAGAACTGTTTTTGATCCTTGTGTACATTTGCTCTTAATTATCATTAATTAACTCAAAAACCTGCTCCGGTATTTTCGAGAACTCACCTCACAGAACACGTTTCTGGCACCGAGGTAATCGAACTCACCAATTATGATCCTAGCGTCCAGTGACTGATAGCAAAAGAAAGAAATGTCAAGAGTTACATAAAGCCGAAATTCTGTGATACAAGATCTTCTGCAAGTCAGTCATTTGTCGGAAAGGAAGGGCAGCATAAAACACCCTGACTTTAAGCGAGGGGCTTCTAAATATAATAAAATGACAGCACACAATGCTACGAATGCCAGTGACAAAATGTAATTAATTTGTAACAAGAACAGGTAACAGTTTGTTTCTCTTTTTGTCGACTCAAATGTGGAATTGCTTTGTTGTTTGGTGTGGACCTGGTGTTGGGCTCAATGTTGAGCGTTGATCTGTTTGGAAGTTCAATTTAATGTGAGTTGAATTTTGTTTACTTTGTAATTCTCGAAGTCGACTGACCTCTTGCAGCTTTAAGCAATAGTTTGTGACCATCAAGATGGCCTTGTGATTCAGCGTTAAGCGATGGTTTATATCCATCAAGATGGTCTTGTAATTCAAGGTTGTTCAAAGTCTAAGTTACCCGCACATGGAGTTTGTAAATGTTAAGTGGAGTTTGTCTTCGAGTTCCTATGGCAGCCATACTTGAGAATTCTTGCCGACCTTTGGCTCGGACCTTCATCGGAGTTCCAGTTTTATCATTTAGCTCTTTAAACTTAGTATTTTTTCATTCAGCGTTTGTTCTTTAGTTTGAATATCCGTGTACGCAGATTGACCTCTTCAAGGAGACGTTTTAAAAGTAGTGTGCAGTATCCTTCAAGGTCATACCATTCACAACTGACTGAAAAGTGCCTAAAATTGAGGTATTCTACTATGTAACGTTCAGGAAGTGAATTAATCAACAGAACGTGTAGCAGTCCAAAGGGTATAATTAAAAGAAAAGGAAAGAAAAGAAGAACACTCTCTGTTTCCCCTCGTAGAGGAGGGTTGCCACTACATATGTGTTAGCATGGAAAACAGTTATTTTCATGGAATATCTATGCGCTAGAAATATGTTAAACCTACTAATTCTGATTAAGTGATGGGTTTAATTGGAGTCTTTGGAATGCGTAGGAGTTTGATCGAGTAATCTGCCGTGACACCACAAAACAAAAACAAAACAAAACAAACATTTTTACCTTAAGTTTATCCATTTGAAAACTGAGGTCGCCTCGCTTCTCGAATCCTTCCACTGCAATGATGCTGATGTTGTTCTTTTCCAGTTCAGTTTTAAGCTTATCTACTGTCTGTGAAAATGGGAGTAGATCAATTTTGAGAAAACGCAAACGTTTGGTAAGCTTGCTTGTTAATACTCACGAGATGATAACAGATTTGGCTAAAATTAAACTTTTTGTATTTGCGTAGTTAACTAAACTGAAGCTTAAAATGGACTTAATACAACTAAACGATTTTATGCAGGCATCTTCTGATGTGTCATTTCAACTCAAACTTAACTTTTTTCATTTTATTTCATTCTCAAGTATGTCAAGAACTCTATTACTTAGTAAAGAATATTGAGTAAGATAACTATTGGAAGAAAAACTACTTAATTTAACAAGTCTTAGAAAGACTGTACCGGCGAAAAGAACTCGGGATCGTATTCGTGAAGAATAGCAACTCTTTTCCAGCCGTAGTGTTTGATGAAGGCCACCTTTGCTTTGCTGTATGACGTCGATGACGGGGCGGCTCGATAAGTGTTGGGATAGGTTAACTGACTTTCAAATTTAGGTGAGCCTGACGAGTAAGAAACCTGTGGAAAACGAAACGAACGTTATACATTTCTTGTTCTTTATAAAACATGTGGAGTGTCGATTTGTTGATACTCAGATTTGAGCCTACCTAAGGAAGTGTTCATTTATTTTGAGTGTCGAGAGTAATTCGCATTTACTTTGGTTTTGTGTTACCACCTTATGCAATTAGTTTTAAAAACTCTCAGCAATTTTCAACCAGCCACACATTTTCTCGGGGTTCTCTGGTACCTGCTTCACGTACTGATTTTTGCTCAAGACTGTCTCTATCCTTTTTTGTATGGTCAAAGTGATCACTTTGGTTTTGGTTTCAACAGTCATTGAAAACTGCTTTATGTGCATGTCTTGCTATGATACACTGTTTCTACTTCTAGCAACGCAACCAATGACTAGTCCAGAGGGAAACATAATTCACTGGTTTCTTGAAGGACATTCTATCATGCGTTTTGCTATTCTGGCCAGTTTATGGTCATTTTCGTGGTCTAAGAGTATTTAACGCGATTGCAACATTTTCCTAAAAATTAGTCCCTACTAAAAAGACCTTCAAGAGCATTTAAACACTTGGTTGCATTTGAATCACATGTTAATTTTAAGGTTTTATCCAAACAGCATTTTTTCGTTCCAGTTTAATTTACCTTTGTATCCGCATTTTCTTGCTAATTAACTTAGCTTGCAGCATAAAATACTAAACTGAAGAGCCACACCTGAACTAGCTTCCACAATGGGGCAGCCTCCGCTACGGGCTCTAAAGCCTTTGTACTTGAAGGTCCAAGTAATATAACAGGTTTTTCTTTCTTGTTCAGGAGATTAAAGAGTGCCTTTGTGGCGTATGCACCACCGTCCTGCGAAATAGTAAGTGATTTACAGTGTCAGTAATACAAACAGAGATTTACTCAAAATATTGTGCAGTTTTATCTACAGGTTTGTTTAACTCGTTGGAATGATATGGAAACGTTCTTTTGGCCCAATTCCCTGAAATTTTCTGACTTTCATCTCACAGTCAGAGCCAACCTTTCAAGCCTCTAAACCTTCTGCTCAGTGCTAATGCAACCGAGTCAGGAGGACATGTTATTCAAACAGGAACGATAATTATCAGTAATTAAGGGAACTTGATGTACTTTTCACGACTTCTCTTCGAAACTTAATAGTTGCAAAATTTACGAAGAGGAGGGAGTGTTACCGTTTCAAAGTTTCATAAGGCTCGCACTGGTCATACATGTCATGTCTTTATTGAAACTTTTACTATGGTGCAAACTCCATTACGTTAAGTTTAGTATATAAAAGACAGAGTTGACGCCGAGAGTTGATCCAAACAACCGTATACCATCTGTTTTTAGAATAGGATTGTTCGATATAATTGGCTGGCAAGGAGACCTCCGTTTATTATTCGTACTTAAATTAACTAGCAGTCACTACAGATCTACCGACTATGAGGCAATGTTTGTGCTATATAAATCCTAGTACACACACTAAACTTCTTCTTGTGTTACCTCATGTGAGGTAACGGAACGTTGCCGTTTAAAAAATCAGTCATTTTCACGAGGGCAGTTATGTATCATAAAGACTCGCAGTCGGATAAAGAGAGAAGGTGGTATAATTTTAAATGGGCAAACAAAAGTTAGGACTAAAAGGGCCAAATATCTCTGTTGATTGTTAAGCGTTTTCATTGCAATACCAGGAAATAAAACTTGGATCCAAGGCAATTTTGGACACTGAGACTGTGTAAAGTCCATGAGACTGAGACTGTGTAAAGTCCACGTTAGAATATATTTTATCGCAAGTGAGAAGACCTAACCGTGCAGATTCCTATCGGACGGAATCATGCAAACGCTGAATGCGATGTGCTTACTCAAATCCAATGGCCCATTTTATAGTTCTGCGCTTAGTGATCAGGCCTTTGACAAGAAGCGAGGCTCGAATTTATTTGGCTATGAAACAAGCCTCGTGAATTTCGAAATGTAAATTATTCCGTTTTCATGCTAAATAGTTTCTAATCTATATCATCACAAGGCCAACTCAAACCTCACTTTCAAGCAGAGGCCTAATTAACTTTCACAGATTTTGAAATGATTTATTTATCTAGATGTATTTTAGTTTCTCGTTATAACATTATTGATTGCCTGTGAGGCTCTTGGTTTCTTGTTCTCATCTTGGTGGACAAACCGAGATAAATAAACTATTTCTATTTGAGTTTTTGGCCAGTTCCATATACATGTCACTTGGGTTTCAAAGGATTGGTTGTGGGACAATGTTCCTAAGTGTTCCTTATGTGAAACAAGAGGTGGTTTTCTTCCATTCATTTCTGTCGGTTAATGGATTGATCCGTCAATATTTCCGATAATTAAAAGAAATGGCAATTAAAGAAAGTTTCTTCTTCAAGCAACAAACAGTTTGCTCAAATGTAAGGTTGACAAAATCTTCCTAGACTCATTAATAATTCATCAAGTTAAAACAAAGAAAATCACAACCATGAAGGACGTTTGGATACCTTGTCTTAATGAGCATAGATTTTGACGATTTTACTTCTCCGTTTACTCCTTAGTTTTTGTTTCGATTGAGGCAGTGTTTCATCTGCTACCCAAACACCTCTAATTTCGCCAAAAATACTCCGCTGCGCTTCGTATTTTCAACTCTGTTCTCGATGTTTGGATATCTCGATGAAACACTGTCTCTCGTGTTTGATATATTACATCAGCAGGAAATAGCATCTTAACCTTTTAAGGATGTTTTAATCCCCGCGTTTTGAGACAAATAAACATTCTCTAACTGTTTACTTTACTGATAGGACTTGAGAGACTTCGCATCGTTATCAAAAAAAGATCAGTCTGCTTTTTTGGTCTTCACGCAATCTTATTGCTTGGTACACTGAAACATGAAGGAGAAATAAACTTCCGACTTTGTGAGAGCTTGAAAAATTAAATGAATCCATCTAGGACTTTTAAGATCTTTTATAATCCTGGAACATCTTATGCTAATGTTCTGTAAAGACAGCTGCAAAGAATCGATCTGCAAACCAGGCTTGTAAGGGTCAAACTTATATACCGGAAAACTCTTGAACATAATTTCAACTGATTTTTCTGAAAACACATAAGTGTCCTAGTCTGCATCATTTAGAACACTTATGTTTTCTTAATTGAGTCTCTGGGATGGATATTTTATATCCTGCTTCTCACACAGTGACATTAAGAAAATGAAATCAACACAACACGACCATGTCAAGCTGGATGAAAACTGAGAAACTTTTTCATATGCTTGGTCATCTAGTATTTGTACCTCCTACATGGTTGCATATGATAAGGAAGATGACAGAGGTTTTCTATTTGGTTGCTTTAGCGAAGAAGGTATATGTAACAGGTAACTACCAAGAGTGCCCTTAAAAGATATATTGTAGTTTTGATTTTACTGTTTACTCAGCAAACTGCGGATAAAAATCCTCAGTTCAGTTGGAAAAAATTTAAGCTTCAAACAGAGAACTAACAGATTAACAGATCTTTGAAAAGATCTTTTCATTTCAACCGGAACAACGTCACAACCATTCTTGAACTAAATGGCAATCAATAAACAACACCGCTTACAGTTGAAACGAACGAAAATGAAAGCAATTTAAGTTTATAAAAAGTATTTTAAATGAAATCACGAGAATAAGATAATAGTTTCTTTATATTATTTGTATGAAAAACATCATTAGATACGCTTTTTCAACGCAAAGTAAAAAAAAAATATGAACAACAGCGCCGACTTTAATTAATTACGGAACCAAATCTGTAAATATTTGAACCCGACTGTACTCTTGTACAAAGGTACACAATTATTCCTAAAATGTTTTATTTTTAAGAAATGTCCGCTAATTCATGTGGGATGCCTCTTGTTACCTTTTATGCGTAAAAATAATAAATTTCAAAGGCCAGAGCTAACGGAGGCTTTATTTCATTTTCTCGATTTCTTTTTCAATTTGCTTCTCAACAGGAGTTGTTTATCCTTCAGATTTGGAAACAAAAGATACTGCATAGCGCGTCTGCAGAGGACCAATTTTACTTGATTTAAGGCCAGGTGCTAAATTAGTCGTTGTCGGTTTAATTTTAGTTGGCGCAATCGGTGTTTCATCGACAGAAGGTTCAGCGGGACGTTGAATTGATTTTCCACAAGACTTATGAGATGTTAGATAGTATTTATGACCCATTCATCATCTTTTTTCATCTTACCACTATTTATGCTAGAGATCTGTCAGTTAACGTCGAAATAATTAACAACAAAATACTTTATTAATTTTCTGCAAAGGAAAAAGGCATCGATATGAGTACTGAATTGTAAGGGTCAAACACTTGGCCAAATTGTAGCAGAATAAACCAAGATGAATACAATTCTCCACTTACCCAATGCGTATCTATAGAGTCCAACACCAGTGTGTAGTTGCCCAAAATGTCGGTTCTGTTGTTTATAAGATTGATGGCCATCTTCATAGCGTTATAATACCCATATCTATCATCCTTCATAAAAGGAACAAACCCTCCTACATGAATTTCTCTTTTTCCTCGTTCCAAGATGTTTTCGGCTGGATCAACTTGACAGGGCTGCATGGCAGTTACGTTGAAACATGCCTTTCGTGACATTTCCTGCGTGCATTGGGCGGATGAAGTTGCGTTCGTCCTGTTTCTCAGTTCCTGTGTTTCATTCCAGCAGCGAAAATCGCTCGAGTTGGATAATTTTTCACAGCAAAGCTTTGTATTGGTTTCAAAATGTAAGTGACAACAAACATTTTGAACCACCGCCACTAAACATGCAACAGCAAGGATGACTCCTTGATAACCCCTACACGTCATTGCTGAAAGAGAAAATGAAGCCAAAAGAAGCGTATTTGAGAGACTGAGAAAAATTAAATCTGGCGTTTCACTTGACAAACATCATGTTAAAATAAGTTGTTCAAATTAAACAAGACATGCGAATGGTTCTTTATTATACGTCCTTTTCAAGCCATTAGGAACCGGTGAAAATATCATTTTTGATTCGTCAAGAATGATTGAGACTATTTTTGAATTGTTGCTTCTAATTTGTTTTCCTCCGTTTGGAGACAAACAAAAATCAATTCACTTCAATCTTTGGGGCTTCTTCCTCTTGCAATAAATGTAAATTTATATTACAGGCCTCATTCCATGGAAAATTATAAAATCATTTCAATTCCCTTGGTGAGTCCAAGTATATATGTTTAAGACACCGACTGTAACGAGCTGTTAGACGCTTTTCCATATTAACAAAGATAAAGTATTTCTTATTAATTTTTAAGTACAAAATTTAATTTGCTCAGCGAGAAAACTTTGAATATTTTTGCCGCATAGAGTAAAGGCTTAACTTTTCTTTTGTCCAAGAACAAAAGGTATTATTTTACTTGAGATTCAGTTCCGTTTGAAATATTATGAGGAAATTCTGCTAATACTTAATTCAGCTAACACTCTGTTGAAACAGACTGTTTAATATTGCTTCATCTCACCATCGGCATACTAAGAACGAAATAAGGTTTACTGAATACCAGGACGATTTCTTCGGGTTTTTGAACGTCTCCTTCGAACGATACTAATATGAACAGAAAATGATAATATATAGTTTCTAATATCCGGTTCACGTCACATCTTCGCATTTCTGTACGTGATCATCCTTATTAAGGTTTTACATCAGCTCCTGTGATTCAGTCCTACTAACAAGACTTTTAATAAAGAAGTTATCGATTGGAAATAAGAACGCAATCACGAGTCTTTCCGGTCCTCGAAAGTCTCGAATTCTTGATGCGACCGGCCTTGAAGTGAAAAACGTAACAAAACGGTAAAAGTGAAAAGATACTTTTCACCCAAATATTGGGTCAGATATTCGTTTCATTCGTTCGTTTCAAGGAAAAATGGAATCGGCATGAACACATTCCAGACATAACAACAACAACAATGATGATGATGATGATGATGATGATGATGATGATGATGATGATAATAACAATAATAATAATAGATTTATATAGCGCTAAAACTATAAAATATTCTAAAGCGCTGGATGGATGTGTTCTTAAAAAAACGCAAAAAAAATGCAAAGGCAGTGAGCTGGCTGTTTATGACTGGCAGCAAAAACAGAATGTGATACGGATATGGATACGGAAAGATTATTTGTGCATGTATTTATACTTCGTGTGTTTGCGCTATTTCAAATTTTTAATAGGAAATCATCTTCATGGAATCCTGCAGGGAAACCAGTAGAAGAAACTTTCCTGTTTGAGGCTGTGTCCTCACTACGCCGGAGAAATTTGAAAGCGCAGCTTTATTTCTACGGTTAGGCCTACTGTACGCACTAATTCGTCACCAAACGAAGCCGGAGGAATTTGAAAACGCCCTCTTTTCGTTTTAGTGTGGACGGAAAACCATTTTAGATTGAAAACGGAGCTTTTCGAAAGCGATGACGTCACGATAATCA